AGCAGAGGTTGCAGCGAGCCAAGATCGCACCACTGGACTCCAGTCCTGGGCGACCAAAGCAAGACGCCATCTCAAAAATTAAAAATTAAAAAATTAGCCGGGAGTGGTGCCAAGCACCTGTAGTCCCAGATACTCAGGAGGCTGAAGCAGGAGAATCACTTGAGCTTGGGAGGTCGAGGCCTGCAGTGAGCTGTGATTGCACCATTGCACTACAGCCTGGGCAACAGAGACTCTGTCTCTGAAGAAAAAAAAAAAAAAAAAAGAAGAGACTGCAGCCAACACCCAGCCGTGTGTGACAGCGAGTCTGTCAGGGACAGAAGGGTGCTGGCCATCAAAAGAGGCAGCGCAGTCACCATCCGCAGGTCAGCAGCCACGACACCAGCCGGCCCTGCAGGCTGACACACAGAGAAATAGGCAAGACCGCAGGCCACCCACGGGAGGGGGACAGGTGAGCCGCACAACAGCCCGGGGCCAGGTCCTCCCTGCGGCTCCGGCTCCATAATCCTCCAGGCAGGGAAAAAGATGAGAAAGAGGAAAGCAACAGGAAAAGCAACAACAAATCGCTGCTCCTCCTCTTGCTTCCAAGGTGCAGAGCAGGGGGCGGGGCCTGCGACTGGTTCCCGGGAGCCCCGGCGCCACCTGCTGGGCCCTGGGGGCAGCTTCAAACGCCAGAGCTGTGGAGCTGACACTGACCGCCAGCCCCACAGGTGCCCTGGGCTGGAAAGCCCGGGGAATGAAGATCAGACCCCGTCTGCAGGTCAGCCGGGACCTGCAGCCTGGGCCACACTGCCATGATTGGGGATGGCACAGAGTCACACACAGGCACGGAGGCAACGAGCAAGCAGTGGCACAGGCATCTGTGGAAGGGGCCTCTCCCACCTGGCTTTGGGGTGGTATCTGACTTCCAGCAGGGTGGGGTTTTCAGCAGCTCTGGGGAAATCCTGCCTACGTGAGCACAGAGGTCCATGCAATGCTGTAAGCCTGTCATCTGCAGAAGCTCCCGACAGAGCCTGCGCGGCACGGAGCTTGGAGGTCCCCACAGCCCTGGATGGCCCTGCACAGTCCCAGCATGGCCCCTCTCCTCCTCTTCTAGGTGTGAACTCTCATCCCACCAGCATGTGCTCCCTGCTACACTGCTCAGGGCGCCTCTTGGAGACTGTTCCTTCCTCTGTAAACTGGGGCTGATCGCATTGAGCTCACAGAGCTTCTGTGAGGCTTGAACGAGAGGCAAGACACAGCGCCTGGAGCAGGCAGTGTTCAGGACAGAGGCGCACTGCTAACACGGACGCCTTAACACCCTCCTCCCACTCAGTCAACAGCAAATGGGGCTGTGGGTCCCACCACAGGCCTGGGTGCTGTGCCAGGTGCGGGACACAGGGGTGGGGAGTGGGGTCACAGAGGGACTGGCACAGAGTGACGGGCAAGGCTACCATCCAGGAATCCTGGGGATGCTCTCAAACACCACGCAGCAAGCATGGCTGATCAAGGGCTCTGCCAGGTACCTGCGTGTGACCAGCGCCCTCTGGGGCCACCAGCGAGCTCAGCGCCAGGCTCAGCTTGTGCCTGAAGACACAAAAACACCAAAGAAGAGCTATGGAGCACCAGCCTTAATTAAAAAAAAAAAAAAAAAAAAAGGACCATCCAACCGGGGAATGCAGAGACCTTACAGCATCCACTTAGAGCATCAGACTTGCATAAAAAACGCACAGGCGCAGGGCACCCCAGGAGGCCGGGCGGCGGGGGGGAGCTCCTGGCCTGCAAGGGGCGGCACTGAGCCGGGCACAGTCAGCGGCAGGTGGGTAGAGGAGAGAGCAGTTCAAAGGCGGGGCTGGCATCTGGTGCCACGTACAACCAACCCGCCTACAGCGCCGTGCAGAGAGGATTCTGAGACCCAGAAGGAAAAGCAGGCTCATCGGCGGGGATGCCTGTGAGGGTGGGGCCTGGGACTGCTCTGACCCTCGAGGCCGGGTCGGCTGCCTGTCATGAGCACAGCCATCCTGAACTGCTTGGGGATCCTGGACGTTCTCTGCTGCAGCGAGGAAACAAGCAAGTCACAGAGCAGGCCCCCATCACGGCAGGAAAAGCCACCCCACCCCTGCAGGGCTGAGACCATCCCACGTGGGATGGGTCTGAGAGCCCCAGACGCACAGGCAACAGAAGAGACGAAATGCCCACTCTCAAGTCCCTTTAACAAAACACACCCACCCAGGAGACGCCCGCTCTGGGCATACAGTGGCAGCCTCCCACTGGCTGGGGTGCCTTTGAGTGGAGCCCAGCTGCAAGCTGATGAGGGAGAAGGCCTGAGGCTCCTGCCGTGGCTGACAGGGCGGAGCTGGCCAAAGCCGCCACACTTGAGAAAAGCCAGCCTTGCCCCCAACAGCTACCGCCCCTCCTCAGGCCCACTTGGCTAAGCCCTTGGGTGCCTGTGACCCACTCGGCCCTCCTAAAACAGGTACATGAGCAGGCGTCACGTCCAGCTCACAGCACAAGGATGCTAAAGTGTGGGGAAGCAGAGGCAAGGGGAGGAGCTGGAACATTCCAGCCGCCACCCGGGCTGCCCTCCAGATTCCACCGCAAGAAGCATCAAGGTCCAAAGCAAAGTCGAGGACACAGGAAGTGTGTTTTCTACAAGAGCCACGTGACGCTGACCATGACTTCCAGATGAGGGCCACCAGGCTGGCACTGAGAGCAATCACTTAGGGCTTTATTTACTGACACAAGGAGACTCCACCGTGTAGTGTCACTTTTTTTTTTTTAAGACACGGCGTCTCTGTTGCCAGGCTGGCATGCAGTGGCACCATCTCAGCCCCCTACAACCTCTGCCTCCTGAGTTCCAGCAATTCTCCTGCCTCAGCACCTGAGTAGCTGGGACTATAGGTGGGTGCCACCACGCCTGGCTAATTTTTTGGGTTTTTTTGTATTTTTAGTAGAGATAGGGTTTCATCATGTTGGCCTGGATGTTCTTGACCTCATGATCCACCCACCTAGCCTCCGAAAGTGATGGGATTACAGGTGTGAGCCACGGCGCCCAGCCAATGTTACGTTTTTAGAAATCAGATTACAAAACAATATGAGAACCTTATCTCCAGTTGGTTCTCCAGGGAAAGCTGGCAACTTTCACTGTTGGGAAACTTTCACTTAAAAATAGGCTGATGTCAGGTCGGGTGTGTTGGCGCATGCCTGTAATCCCAGCACTTTGGGAGGCCCAGGCGGGCAGATCACCTGAGGTCCGGGAGTTCGAGACCAGCCTGGCCAACATGGAGAAACCCCGTCTTTACTAAAAATACAAAAACTAGGGTATAGTGGTGTGCACTTACAATCCCAGCTAATCAGGAGCCTGAGCCAGAACTGCTTGAACCCGGAAGGCGGAGGTTGCAGTGAGCTGAGATCGCGCCACTGCACTCCAGCCTGGATGACAAGAGTGAGATTCTGTCTCAAAAAAGAAAAAAAAAAAAAAAAAGAGGTTGACTCATAGTCTAAATTTTCAAAAAGTACTATAAACACAAGTTGTTTTTACAACCAGAGAGGGGAAACCTCAACTACGATTATTCCTGAGAAAGCCAGTGGCAGACCGCAAGGACAACAGACTGTCCCGGAGTCCGGCCAGCAGGGCTTCAGGGCCCAATGGCTCGAGACCTCCTGGCTGATGGCTCTTCTTGCTACTCTGTGAACAGCCGGTGTCTCCTCCCTGTCACCTCTCCCCACCTTCAGGGGCACGAACACTCAGCACCAGGCTTACGCCTCTCTCAGGAGCCCTGCTCATTTGACAGTCAGCCCTTCCTCCTGAGAGGTCTTTAAATACATCCCTCTCCAAATCGCCTGCGAAGATCAAGCTCTCTCCAGGAATCGCCTCCTGACTTGTGTTCAATTCTAGGTGCTCATCTGAGTTGGTGCTCAGCAACAGATCATCAAACCCCAGTATATCCTGCTCACAAGGGGAAGCGGAGATGCCAGCTAAGAGAAGAAGGGCCAGAGGACACAGGCCTTCTGGAAAGGGCCTGGCAGCAGGTGGCGAGGAGAGGGAGAGGCTGCCCCACAAGGAGGAAGGATTTCTGTTCAATCTACCACCTTTACCCACAACTGCCCAAGTAACCACAGCTCCCAGATCTAAACAACGTGCAGAGATGTCAAAAATCCAGAGTTAAAAGATAGTTGCAGGCTGGGTGTGGTGGCTCACACCTGTAATCCCAGCACTTTGGGAGGCCGAAGTGGGTGGATCACTTGAGGTCAGGAGTTTGAGACTAGCCTGGTCAACATGGTGAAACCCCGCCTTTACTAATACACAAAATACAGGCTGGTATTACGCACCTGTAGTCCCAGCTACTTGGGAAGCTGAGAGATGAAAGTTGCAGTGAGCCGAGATTTTGCCACTATACTCCAGCCTGGGCAACAGAGTGAGACTCCATCTCAAAAATGATAAGAAGAAAAATACTTTTGTGCTTGTGGGAAAAGAGGGCTTGAACTATCTAGAAAATTTGCCATGCAGAGGCCAGGCTTGGTGGCTCACATCTGTAATCCCAGCAGTTTTGGGGGCTGAGGCGGGTGGATCACTTAACATCAGGAGTTCGAAACCAGCCTGGCCAACATGATGAAACCCCATCTCTTCTAAAATAATTAGCTGGGCATGGTGGCGCACACCTGTAGTCCCAGCTACACAAGAAGCTGAGGCAGGAGAATTGCTTGAACCTGGGAGGCAAAGGCTGCAGTGAGCAGAGAGTTCGCCACTGCACTTCAGCCTGGGCAACACAGCGAGACTCTGTCTCAAAAACAGCAATAAGCAGCAGCAGCACACTTTTGTGCTTGTGGGAGAGGAGAGCTCGAACTAGCTAGAAAATTTACCCTGTGGCCCGGGAGTATCTAGGAGCAGAGGCTGGGCCGGAGGAGAACCACACCCCTTGCTTTCACTCAGTCGCTGCCTGGTGCTGGTCAATTCCATGAAATCGCTGGCAGGCACTTGATGTCTGCGGAGCCTGAACCTATGCCCAGCCCACATCACTCACCTGCGGAGGAGAGACTGCTGCAGGTTCTTGCAGGTGGCGAGGGACTCCCCGGTGAACAGGTGGCACATGACGACGTGCAGGCAGCGGGCCATGAAGGCCAGCACGGCGTCCGGCTGGAGGGTGCCACTGCGGGAGACCAGGCACAGGCGCTGCAGCGAGGAGCACTGGCTCAGCGCCTGGAAGAACTGGGCGTTGGCGCTGAAGTAGGGCTGCTCCAGCCTGCAGGGAGAGAGAGAGTGCCGTGAGGCCCACAGGAGGGGCTGGCAGGCCGGCCCAGGCCAGCTGGGCACACAGATGTGCTGAGGGTGGAAGCTTCCTGGCCTGGGACCCAGCCCCGCTGTTCGTGCCCCCCTCTATACCACTATCCCCTGGGAGGCTGGGTGCCGACTCAGATCCCCAGGGTCTCCCTTGGAGATCCGATTTGGATCAGACCCAGTGGGCCTGATACAAATAGCCAGCCGGTATCTACAGAGCCCGGCTGCAAGTCACCGGCTGAGGCCATCAGCATCGGTGTGCCCAGCCGGCCTGGTGCACCCACTAACCCTCAGGCACCCCACCTTCCTCAAACACTGGCATGCTGGGCAGGGGATGCAGCGAGAACCCCACACGTGGCCTCTGCCCTTGGGGGGCTCAGATGGTGACTGAACACAGTGGGAGGGGGCAGGAATCCGGGAGGCGAGGCCGGGGGACAGGCGGAACCTCAGCCAGGTGGGGGCCGCTCCAGCCCCAACAGATGGGATGGCTGCAGGGCTAGAAGGAGAGGCGGAGGGGAGTAGGGCCAAGCTAAGAGGTTGGCAGCCAGGGCAGGGCAGGGCTGGGCCGGTCCAGGCCGCAAGGCAGGGCGGAAGCCCCTTGAGTCCACACCGACGCTACAGCAATAGAGACCAAGACGAGAGGGCTCAGGGGAAAGGGGAAGACTTGGGAAAGGGAACTAGGAGACAACATTCTAGATTCTTCCCGGGGAGTCTGTCCAGCCAGACAGAAAGCAGGAGGACAGGGCAGGTCACAAGACGCAGTGGCGGACGTGGGGATGTGGCGCTGCTCAGAGTCCAGGGGCTCTTAGGGAACCAGCTGTGGGACCGGGCAAGACCCAGACTGTGGCAGGTCGTGAGGTGCAGCGAGCCCCTGAGATGACAATCAGGAAGGAGCAGAGAGGCCAGAGGGGAACTCATGATACATCAGGGGCTGCCCGGAGCTCCGGGGGTGGAGGGAGAAGCTGCTGGAGGGATGGGCTGAGGAGAATGGGGAGGGGCTGGCATGGGCTGTGCTGCAACCCCTCCCCCGACATACACTATGCACAAGTCCTCACCTTGGGACCTGAGAGTGTGGCCTTATTTGGCTACAGGTTCATTGTAGATGCAATGGAGTTAAGATAAGGTTACATCCTGCATGAGGGTGGACACTAAATCTGATAACTGGCTCCTCACAAGGCCCAGTAAAGGCACAGAGCTAACCCAGACACAGAGGACAGCCAGGCCACAAGGGAGGTAGAGACGGGGCCACGTGTCCATCAGCCAAGCAGCCAGGTGTGGCTGGCAGGCGGCTGAGTTCTTCCTCGCCATCCTCAGAGGGAACCAAACCTGCCCACACGCTGATTTTGGACCTCTGGACTCCAGAATCATGAGACAATAAACATCTGTTACATTAAGCCACTCTGTGATCAATTGTCCTGGCAGCTCAAGGACCCTAGCACAGATGTCCAGGACAGTCATAACAGAAGGCACCAGGCACAGAGATCCTTCCCTGGAAGATGATACAAAAAGACTAAGGCAGGGCGGGTGTGGTGGCTCATGCCTATACTACTAGCACTTTGGGAGGCCGAGGCAGGTAGATTGCCTGAGCTCAGGAGTTCAAGACCAGTCTGGATAACACAGTGAAACTCCATCTCTACTAAAATACAAAAAAGTAGTCAGGCGTAGCAGCGTGCACCTGTAGTCCCAGCTATTTAGGAGGCTGAAGCAGGAGAACTGCTAGAACCCGGGAGGTGGAGGTTGCAGTGAGCCAAGATCCAGCCACTGCACTCCAGCCTGGGCAACAGAGCGAGACTCCATCTCTCTCTCTTTTTGTTGTTTTTTGAGATCGAGTTTTGCTCTGTTGCTCAGGCTGGAATGCAATGGCGAGATCTCAGCTCATTGCAACCTCCATCTCCTGTATTCAAGTGATTCTCCTATCTCAGCTAATTTTTCGTATTTTTAGTAGAGATGAGGTTTCACCATGTTGGCCAGGCTGGTCTTGAACTCCTGACCTCAGGTGATCTGCCCACCTCGGCCTCCCAAAGTGCTGGGATTACAGCTGCACACTGTACAGGTAGGCCACCACACCCGGCCAAGAGTCCATCTCTAAAAAAAAAAAAATTGGGCCGGGTGCGGTGGCTCAAGCCTGTAATCCCAGCACTTTGGGAGGCCGAGGCAGGTGGATCAAGAGGTCAAGAGATCAAGACCATCCTGGTCAACAAGGTGAAACCCCGTCTCTACTAAAAATACAAAAAATTAGCTGGGCATGGTGGCGCATGCCTGTAACCCCAGCTACTCAGGAGGCTGAGGCAGGAGAACTGCCTGAACCCAGGAGGCGGAGGTTGCGGTGAGCCGAGATCGCACCATTGCACTCCAGCCTGGGTAACAAGAGCGAAACTCCGTCTCAAAAAAAAAAAAAAAAAAAAAAAAAATTACCGAGGCATGGCGGGGCACGCCTATAATCCCAGCTACTGAGGAGGCCAAGGCAGGAGAATCGCTTGATCCAGGGTGGCAGAGTTTGCAGTGAGCCAAAATCGCGCCACTGCACTCCAGCCTGGACAACAGAGAACAGAGTCAGACTCTTGTCTCAAAAAAAAAAAAAAAAAAGAAATTCTCTGATGCTCCCGATGCTGAGATTGTGTGTGTGTGTGGGGGGGGGGAATGAGGGCCTTCAGAGTGTGGCTTTGAAAAGGGCCCACCACACAGGACGCAGGATAGGGAAGGGTGCTCTGAGCAGTCACAACCCCCATCACACACACACAGCACAAGCCCCATCCCCCAGGCACCATTTAATCAATTTTGTCCTTGAAGATACAGAGGAAAGTATCCAGACAGCCATGACTAGAGAGGACACCTCCCAGGGAGGTAAAGGGTGGCCACGTGGTGCTTAGATTAATCCTCACCAAGGACAAAATAATCACCAAAATCAGGCAGAGCCCAGATAGCTAACCAGTGCCTTTCCTATCATGAATCTGAATTTTCTTTTCAGCTGATTTTTCTGGAAAAAAATGTCTGAACACACTATTTGGCTATTTTTGTTGTTGTTGTTTTTCTTTTGAGATGGAGTCTCGCTCTGTCGCCCAGGCTGGAGTACAGTGGCTCCATCTTGGTTCACTGCAACCTCCGCCTCCCGGGTTCAAGCAATTTCCCTGCCTCAGCCTCCAGAGTAGCTGGGACTACAGGTGCATGCCACCATACCCAGCTAATTTTATGGGTTTTTAGTAAAGATGGGATTGCACCATGTGAGCCAGGATGGTCTCAATCTCCTGACCTTGTGATCTGCCTGCCTCAGCCTCCTAAAGTGTTGAAATTACAGGTGTGAGCCACCGCGCCTGGCCTGGTTCTATTTTTTTTTTTTTTTTTTTTTTTTTTTTTGCAGTTCAAGCATATCTTTGAACAGTGTACCCAGCTCTATCTTTTAAAAACCAAATTATTATTTTCTGCTGAGCACAGCAGCTCATACCTGTAATCCCAGCACTTTGGGAGGCCAAGTCGGCTGGACAGGAGTCCGAGCCCAGCCTGGCCACCACGGTGAAACCCCATCTCCACTAATAATACAAACATTATCTAGTCATGGTGGTGGTTGCCTATAATCTCAGCTACTTGGGAGGCTGAGGCCCAAGAACTGCTTGAACCCAGGAGGCGGAGGTTGCAGTGAGCCAAGATCATGCCACTGCACTCCAGCCTGTGCAACAGAGCGAGATTGTGTCTCTCACACACACACAAAATTAAATAAAACATGCAAATTGTCTTTTTCTAAATGTGTTTTGTTAAGCTATTCAAACTTTTTATTTAAAGATGGCGATAAAGTGTTTTCATTAAAATATATTTTAAATACCACCTCTCCCTAAATCCTAAAGTAAGTATCCCTTTGCAGACCTGAAGGTTGGAATGGGGAGGGTGAAAGATTGTGCAGGTGCCGCATCTGCTAAGCTGCAAAGTCACCTCTGGATTTCTCTCCAAAGCAAAAGCAGGAGGCTCCAGACAGCAGGGGATGGAAACGGGGCACTGGGTGCAGCTGCCATCGTGCGGTCACTAGGTGGCGATGCGGGTCCGTGCCACCCGCCCCAGATCGCTTCGAGCCTCTGAGGTTAAAAACCAATTCGGGGCCGGGCGCGGTGGCTCAAGCCTGTAATCCCAGCACTTTGGGAGGCCGAGGCGGGTGGATCACGAGGTCAAGAGATCGAGACCATCCTGGTCAACATGGTGAAACCCCGTCTCTACTAAAAAATACTAAAAATTAGCTGGGCATGGTGGCACGTGCCTGTAATCCCAGCCACTCAGGAGGCTGAGGCAGGAGAATTGCCTGAACCCAGGAGGCGGAGGTTGCGGTGAGCCGAGATCGCGCCATTGCACTCCAGCCTGGGTAACGAGAGCGAAACTCCGTCTCAAAAAAAAAAAAAAAAACCAAGTCGGCAGAGCATGAAAAAAAACCTTTTTTCCACTAGACAGCCACCTCCAGATTCTTCTGCCCCTGAGGAAGTCAGCTGTCACAGGTGTTCAGGATGCGGCAGGACCACGGGAGTGACTGGTCAGTCAGGGGGACTGAAACGTTTAAAGCTTCGCAGGCTCCCATGGCACTCCACCCAGGGCATGTCACCCAGGACAGTGACAGAGCTGACCTAATTCGGGTGGCCGGCAGCATCTGCAGGGAGGATGGGGACGAGGAAAAGGCTCCCACTGCGCCAGGCCTAACCTCTGCGTGAGGATCCTGTCTCCACATCCTGCTCCCTGAGGGGCACTTGGGTCTCCTGGTGACTCTGTGGATGTGAAAGGCGCTGGGCTCATTGTGGGGGCCCCCAGCTAGCTGCCCATCACACAGACCGTCAGAGCAGAACCCAGGCCTCTGAGGTGTCCCTGGGGCAGCTGTCAGGGCCTGGCTCTGAAAAGGATGGCCTGCTTCTGCTCAGACGCTGCCCTGGTTCTGAGGTCACAGCAGCCCGAGTGACTCAGGGTAACACGCGCCCCCCTCCCTCCACAGCAAGC